AACCTAGACAGCATATTAAAAAGCAGAGACATTACTTTGTCAACAAAAGTCTGTCTAGTTAAGGCTATGGTTTTTCCAGTGGTCATGTATGGATGTGAGAGTTGGACTACAAAGAAAGCTGAGTGCCGAAGAGTTGATGCTTTTGAACTGTGGTGTTGGAGAAGACTCTTGAGAGTCCCTTGGACTGGAAGGAGATCCAACCAGTCCATCCTAAAGAAGATCAGTCCTGGGTGTTCACTGGAAGGACTGATGTTGAAGCTGAAACTCCAATACTTTGGCTACTTGATGCAAAGAGCTGACTCATTTGAAAAGACCCTGATGCTGGGAAAGATTGAGGTCAGGAGGAGAAGGGGACGACAGAGGATGAGATGGTTGGAATGGCATCACCGACTCAATGGACATGGGTTTGGGTGGGCTCCGGGAGTTGGTGATGGACAGGGAGGCCTGGCGTGCTGTGGTTCATGGGGTCACAGAGAGTCAGACACGACTGAGCGGCTGAACTGAACCGACTGATACTGAGACAGGTTGGGACCCAGGGCCTGAGACTTTTTGCTGTAGTGTTTGCACATGGAGAAGCGTCTCCTAGAACAACAGAAAATCAAAGAAACTATAACTGCACATATTCCCAGTTGGGGCAAATTATGAACAAGATACAAAAAGGCCCAAATCCAGCTTCCACTTTTGAGGTGCAGAGAGCAAAAACTGGGCACTGTAAATGATCCCTGCACACAGCACCACCAAAGGACTGGGCAGACCACCTAAGCCTCCCCTCTGGCCTGAACTACCATCAGCTCCACCCTCACCCCTTTCCAGGGAGCACCTCAGAGAGTGAGGAAGAGACTCTGTTACCTGTTTTTGCTTCCTTGCACTGCAGCAGGAGTCCCAGTAAAGCCTTATCTGAATTCCTTGTCTGGTCTCTTAACAATTTCTTTTGATTAAAGAGTCCAGGGACCCTGATCAGTAACAATACTTTGAAAATACCAAAACTGATCATAAAAATAAAGAAAAAACAAACCATAAACATACATAAAATTAAATACAATATGAGAACTGTTTTGTAAATATGGAGGGTTTTTTCCCTACATAGACTTGTCTGCCCAAGGCGCCTTAGAGTGTGTTAATGAAATTCAGACTGAAAACATCTTTTTTTCTGGAAAATCTCCCTATGGAAAATGTTACTCACTGCTCCAAGAACTTGAAAAATTATAGTTCTGGGATCATGCGCATTTCTGTTCTTTTTGCTTACTTATTTTTATCTTGTGTTAAACATGTTATGTAATTTTTTAATAAAGGAAAAACTTAAAGATGATTGTTCTTGTGCTTAGCCTGTCAGGGTTTCTCCAGGCAAGAATACTGGAGTGGGTTCTCATTTCTTCCTCCAGAGGATGTTCCTGACCTTCCTGATCCTTCTTCAAGGATCAAACCTGAGTCTCCAGTGTCTCCTGCCTTGCAGATAGATTTTTTTTACCTGCTAAGCCATCACGGAAGCCCAGGTGATTGGGAGATAAAAATAAAAAACTACGGTCAAGACTGAATTAATAAAGGTTGTATAGAACATATACCAATCATGCACATTTAAGTAACAAATAACAACTAGAAAACTATCAATTTTCACTGAACTTAAGACTATACAGGCAAAGTAAAATCACTGATTACAGGGTTGAAAAAAAGAGGATGAATTTCATCAACAACACAGGTACAAATGATTTACCTTTGAGTAATGCAAAAGTAAGCAAAGAAGTTTTTAAATTAGCATCCTAAATTCAAAATAAGTATAATTATATCTTTACTTTTATCTGAGGGCTTTTTAAAAACCACAAAGATCACATATATCAAATCTCATCACACTTTAAATACGTGCAGTTCATTGTATGTTGGTTATACCTCAGTGAACCTAGAAAAACTAGAAAAAAATTAACTAAACAAATACACAGGCTTAGGTCCTATGGAAAATGTTTTCATAAAATGTCAAATTCCATACTGAATAGTATGGAATCTCTTTGGAAAGATGTTTCCAAACAATCAGAAACATAAAAGTTCAAAATATTATATGATCAAATACTTGATTGTCTAGCAAGAACCAAATCTATACAAAGTCAAACAGAAGTATTAAACAAATTTCTTCATGAGATGATATTTAATATAGATTTTAAAGAACGTGTGAGAAAGTTTTTCTCATTGAATAGTGTGGAAAATCTGCATCAAATTTATCCGAAGTGCATATTAAAAATAAAATTCCTATGCACCATCCAAGAGTTGTGGAATCTCAATCTCTGGTGGTGAAATCAAGGAATCTACATTCTGATAGCTCCCCTAGAAAACCCTTCCAAAGATGAGTTGAGGTTTTCAAAAGTCTCATTTACTGACTGCTATGCAAAGTTAAGACTGAATGACTTTCAGTAGTCATGCAAGGAAATTTTAAGGGTTGAACACGGTTACACTCCCAAAGTAAATCTGCCGAGTTTGGGCACTATGTGTAGAATGCGGAGTTGCTCTGCAGAAACTTCTAAAACACAGTGAGATATTCTATAATTTCCTGGTGCTTCGAAAACAAAGTCCTGCTAAAGAGTTGGGGCCTGTGTCAAACACACATTCAGTCTCCCCGTCAAGACATTTGCTAGATTTCAGTGCTCAAGAATGTAGGAAGCTGAAGTGCAAGCTCAATACCTCTGAAAAGAAGACCTTAATGTTCTCATTTTGGGGAGCCCAGAAGATAAAGATCTGTTAGATTTTCAATCAAGCCTGCTCAAGGTATAGAAACAAAATAGACAAGTCTACAGTTCAGTCCTACTAAAACTAAAACTCAGCTTGACCCACTGAATCCCTGATTATATTAAAGTTATTGGCTATTTACCTTACCTACTTAAAGCAAATAGTGAACACTTTCTGGTGGAAGATATGTTTTCTGAATCTCTTATGCTTTTCAAATACACAGTGTTGTACCTAAAACAAAAAGTTGTTAAATGTGTGAGAAGGCAAAGAAACATGATTTATAATCACGAAATAAAGCAGGCAGAAGAAATAGATCCAAAAACAATTCTTCTATTGAAGCACTCCAAAGTTTAAAAATAACTTCAATTAATCTGTAAGAAAAATGTATACTAAATGAATGAAAAATGGAGACTTAAATAGATTAAACAAGATTAAGATGGACATTTGAGAAATAAAAGCTATCTAAAACTGAGAATTAAGCAGGAAAGATTAGTGAATTCAAAGACAGATCAATAAAGAGTAAAAAAGATGAAGCACAAGAAGACATGAAGAACTGAAAAAGCTGTAACAGAGAAATACAGAAAATGGTTAAAAGTTCTAATATACATGTAATTGGAGTCCAAAAGAAAAGGACAAAGTAGAATATTTGAAGAGATAATGGCTGAGTTTGTGAAAAATGATTAAACGAGATCACTGAAAGAATTCAAGAAGCTCATCCCAAACAGGATGAAAACACAAGACACACACAAAAACACACATACACAAGATACACACACAGAGAGAGAAAAGGAATAGCCAAACTGCTGAAATCAAAGGCAAAAAAAAAAAAAAAAAAAAGACATGTGGCTTTGAAACGAGCAACATTAAAAATAATGGCTGACTTTTGAACAAAAATTTGGAATCTAGAAGGCAATAGGATACATATTTAAAGTGCTGAGAGAAATAATTGTCAACTTAGAATTCTGTACAGCCTGATGTAAGATATCACTCAAACACGAAGATAAGGACACTTTCAGACAACAAACTGAGAAACTTACTTATCAGAAGACTTGAATTATAAGAAATACTAAAGAAGATGTTCAATTTCAATGAAAATCCCATATTATAAATTCAGAACTGCTTGAAGGAATAAGAAAGATGCAAAGGGTAAATATACTAGTAAATATGAAATAATATCCACTGCCTAAAATAACAGTAACAAAATAATGTATTTTGGACATTTGGTAGAAGTAAAATATTGACACCACCCCTCCCCCAACAAACAAAAGGTTAAAAAGTGAATAGATTTTTACTTGTTGTAAGGTTCTTGTTTGAAACATGGTTGGAGTGATGACTTAAGGTGGTATGAAATAAATCAAGTAGTCATATTTTATCTCTAGAGTAATCATTAAAAGCTACACTAAAACATAATTAAAAAGCTAAAAAGGAGAAAAATGAAATAATAAAAATATTATTTCTTCTTTCTTGGATTAAAGGAAAAAAAGAACAGAAATACAAAACAATAAACAAGATGGTAGGCTTAAACTCAACCATGTTCATAAGAGGACTAATATAAATATTTAGAAGACAACGGTACTGAAAATAAAATCAACAATGAAGACCAATATTGTGTGTGTGCGCGCGCGTTTCCCTCCCTGTTTCGCCGACTGCTGTTGGCTGAAAATGGAATAATCAAGATTATTGAGGACTAAGGGGGAAGGAAAGGGAGTTACAAGAGAGGTGGCAATGAACGACATTCTGCCATTTCTCAACTCCCTTCTGATACACAACTATTAGACAAAACAAAACGACAACAAAACTACACATACGAGACGCAATTTTCAATACAAAATCAGAAATATGTGTTTCTATTAAACAGCCCGTTGTACTGTACTGTATTTGGAAAAATTTTTTAGCCTTCAGATGTAACGTTCAAAGAAAAAAAAAAAAAAAAGCCAGAGGGTGAAACAGTTTCCCAAGTAATTATATAGACATCTCTCTTGAAAATAATTAGTTCAGAATAACTTTTTCTTCAGAAATGGTTGAGTCACTAAACTTAGATGGCTATAAATCTAAGATTAGAGGTTTGAAACTAAGAAATTAACCCACGCGGAGTAATTATTATTAACGGTTAAATCCAACAAGTGTGTACTGGCGTTTTTCCATCGCAGACCCCTAGTTTCCTCCTCCGCCGGCTCCGCCCGCGGACTCCTTGATCGCAGTAGAGCCGTGGCCCCGCCCCGCTCCGCTGTGGCCCCGCCCCGCCGCGCCCCGCCGCGGCCCCGCCCGCCCCCGCAGCACCGCTCAACGGAGGCCGCCGCGTCGCCTTGGAAACGGCCCCCAACTCAGTGTAGTGAGGAGCAAGATGGCGGCTGGGGAGCCGGGCGATTTGGGCGTCTACAGCTTCAGATTCCTGCCTCAGAAAACCTTCCAGTCTCTGAGCACCCCGCAGACCACCAGTCGGCTCCGCCAGTGGTGAGAGGCCGAGGGGCTCTTCTCCGTGCCCCTCGGGCTTCTCGGCTCTGGAGGCGCGGATCGGGCGTCGAGGCGGCCCCGTCCTGAGTGAAACCCGGGGGCAGCGTTACCCTCAAGAAGGGCGGGCTCCGTGGGTGGGACGGGTGAACTTGCTGCCCAGAGGGTACCACCCCGAGTTGACCGTCGTTCTCTTCTGTGCCCCAGGTCTATGCTGGGTAGAATCGAGGCGCAGGCGTTCGGGTTTGACCAGACGTTTCAGACTTATCGCAAGGATGATTTCATTATGGTTGGTATGGAAGTTGGAGCGTTCCTTGACCCACTGCTGATGTTACATTTTTTTCCTACTTTGGCATAGATTCTGGTGAACACGGCATTACTCTGTGACGACGTTTTCTTTAAGTTTGAGAAAATAAAAAGGTTCAATCGATTGTTTCACAGGAACTTTTATCTTTTCCATCACCATAAATTAGCTCATCTTCAGTATGCCGCCATAGAGAGCTTTTCAATTTTGGAAAGTTAGTCTCTTCCTAGAAAATCGGTCTTTTTTTTTAGTAGGCACACCTCATTTTTAAATATTATCCAGCTTTATCACCAGCTAGTTTCTCAAAATTGAATCTACCCTGTGAGAAGAGGCTCTATTAGCAGTTCCACATGAATTCCAGAGAAAGCTGTAAGCAGTGACTAAGTTACTGAAATAAATCTATAGCTGGTAGAGGTGGCTGCTTTGAAAGGGGGAAAACTCTTTTGAAAGTAGATTTTGGTGTGTTCACTATATTTCATTCACTTTATTTAAAATCTTAGGGGTTTTTTAGTCCTCAGTTAAATGGAAAAATACTTTTATTGTTTGTGATAATACCTTTGCAGTTCTTGTCCTCAGGCATTGACTGTAGTGTGTAGTTGGCATAGTTTATTCACTCATTGACAAACACTTCCTCAGGGCCTACCATGTGCTAGAAATTCTGTCAAGTAGTGGGGATTCCAGAAGGAACAAAACAGGAGCCTGGCTTTCAAGGATCTTACCAACTCCTGGCAAGACTGCCAATAAATTTAATAAATCAGATCATCTCATACAGAGTGGTAGTGCAGTGAACAAAATATTAATCTAATTAACAAACCAAAATATTTACTGTGAGGGTATATTGATGCTGTAGGGAAGTACCACAAACTGGGTGGCTTAAAACAAGAGAAATGTATTATCTTACAGTTTTGAAGGGTGGAGGTCCAAAATCAAGTGGTTAACAGAGTTGTGCTCTCCCTGAAATCTGTAGAAACGAATCCTTCCTCACCTTTTTCCTAGCTTCTCATGGTTGCCAGCAATCCTTGGCATTCTTTAGCTTGCAGCTGCAAAACATGAATCTCTACTGTCAGAGTCCCTTAGCTCTCCTTCCTGTGGTGTACATAGCTGTGTCACTTCACCTTTTATAAGAACACCAGCCGAATTGAATTAAGGGCCCACCTTATTCCAGTATAATCTCACTTTAACTAATTGTATCCACAACAACCCTGTTTCCAACTAAGGTCACTTTCCAAGATCCCAAGGACATGAATTTTGGGCAGGGGGCTGAGGGAATGCTGTTCAACTCTGAAATGAGGGTAGATTACTTATAGTCTATTTCCCTTTACCTCAGATTGTGTTATAATGTTAATATAATATGCTACTGATTATAATATTAATGACATTTCTCATTCAGTTCGATTCTTATAGTTTTTAATATATTTCATTTATGCCAGGACTGGCTCTCCAATTAATTTTTTTTAAAGATCATCAGGATTTTAATTAACTGAATTTTAGAGTGCTGTAAAAATTTTAATATAAGTCATTTATTCAACAAATGTTTGTTGAATACTTACTGTATCCCTGCTGGGAGGTGTTAAAAAGACAAAGAGTCTTGATCCCAGCTTGTAGGTCATGTGTATAGGTTTAAAAGCTAGAAGTGTAGAAAATTCTCTACAAGACAAAATAATTGCTATATTGGAGGCTATATAAGGTGCCTTAGGCACACAGAAAAAGATCATTCAATGAAGGGGCATTGGTATCAGAATAATTTCATAGACAAGGGTGTAGACTTAATTTGGTTTGTTCAGTAGACACAGATCTTCAACAGAATCAATATTAATCCATAAAGCACAATAAATTTCTCTTAATAGGCAATTTTTTCAAACTAATTTTGAATATCTTCATGTTTATCCTAATTTTTTTCTTGTGAGTAGGCAGTATTCTCATATTTTAATATAAAGAGGTGTATTCATACAATCATTTTTTACTCATGCAACTAATTTGGAGAAGATAAAGAATTGTGGCTGAGAGCATGGCCTCCAGAAGGGGATTTACCTTGAAGCTACTGAATCTTTAGGACCCCTCGCCAGCTCAAGCTCCTCACTCACAGAATCGCCTTCCAAGGAAGTCTGAGCTACTCCAGCATCATACTCACTTGGTCATATGTTTTTGGAATTTTTCAAAATTAACTGTTTTGTATTCTTAGCGAAGTTTGCTCAGTCATGTCCGACTCTTTGCGACCTCATGGACATGGATTTCTCCAGGCCAGAACACTGGAGTGGGTAGCCTTCCCCTTCTCCAGGGGATCTTCGCCACCCAGGGATCAAACCCAGGTCTCCCACATTGCAGGCAGCTTCTTTACCAGCTGAGCCACAAGGGAAACTCTTGTGTATTCTTAGAACCCCTAAAATTGTACATGCTTAAGACACTACAGACGGAGAAGGCAATGGCACCCCAGTCCAGTACTCTTGCCTGGAAAATCCCATGGATGGAGGAGCCTGGTAGGCTGCCGTCCATGGGGTCGCTAAGAGTCGGACACGACTGAGCGACTTCACTTTCATTTTTCACTTTCATTTTTCACTTTCATGCATTGGAGAAGGAAATGGCAACCCACTCCAGTATTCTTGCCTGGAGAATCCCAGGGACAGGGGAGCCTGGTGGTCTGCCATCTATGGGGTCGCACAGAGTCGGACATGACTGAAGTGACTTAGCAAGACACTACCGAACCTGGATTCTCCCTTCATTTGACCTCTAAATAGCTGTCTGTCCAACTCTGCTGCTTACTGGCTGTATGACATTGGGCAAGTTATTTAAGCTTCTTCAACCTTTGCTTTCCTACAAAATTGTCACAGTGCTTAACACTTAAGTACTTTCTGAGAATGAAAATAATGCTGAATATATAGATTATTATGAAGATTGAGTGACATATGAAAATATTTAGCAAAATGCCTGGCTCATAATAAGTGCTGTCATTGTTACTAACATTTGTATACTACTTTTCAAAATGTTTTCCCAAAGCAGAAATGACTCCTGTGTGCCAGATTTAGCTTTCAGCAATTTTTATCCATTTATCACTAATCTTTACAACAATCTGGTAGATTTGGTGTTTTGACCCCTACTTTACAGCTGAGGAAACTGAAGCTCAAAATGGCTAAATAATTTGTGCAAGCTCGCCCAGCAAATAGCAAAACCTAGACCTTTTGGCTCCAACTTCTATTTTGACTACAAAACCCATAACTGAGCAAAGAGGGCTGCTTAAAGTAGGATTCCAGATTTTGAATTTTCCCTTAAAATTTAGAAACAAATTAGGTTTCAAAAGTTTGTAAGGTAGTAAATGGATGGAAAGAAGGAAACATTCATCCAGCAAATATTTCTTTAGTTCTAGTCTGTACAGATGAGCAGGACACAGTGAAAGAGGGAAACAGCCCAAAAAGTGCATTGTAGAATGAGAAGCTGTATAATATAAAATGCACAAGGTGCTGCGGTGGCGCAAAAGAGAAAGTGGTCATTTTTGACTGAGGTGGTTAAAGGAGAGTTAAAAACGTTAAAAAAAAGTTAACCTTAAAAAGGTTAAAAAAGTGCCCTTCCAAAAGACAGGGCACTTGAACTCTGGCCTGAAAGATGAGTAGGAGTTTGTCAGGTAGACAGAGTGGAGTATTGTTAAACAGATGGGTGGGACAATACTTTTTAAGACTTCCTGTGCCATGCAAAGGAGCTTGGTCTTTATGTAGCTGAAGAGTTGCTGAAAGGTTTTCAGCAAAACAGTAAAATTTAAAATACTGAGATCACCTGGCAGAAGTATAGGGGTGGATTGCTAGAACTGAATCTGGAAACAGACTAAATTGGAAACTTATCTTCCAGACTATATGGTGGTGCCCTGAATTAAGACAGAAGCACTGAGATTGCCTGCAGAGATGTTTATGAGACAGGTAGTACTCAAGGACTGATAAGAAAACTGACAGGCAAAGGATGAAATGTAGGAAGACCGAGTTTTTTATTTGGTTGACTAGAGTGGAAGATTTAAATGTATAGAAAATGGAGAAGAATAAATAACGAAAATGATTTCAGTTTCAGGCATGCTAAATTTGAGGTGCATCCAAGTGGCAGTATCCTAGATAGTTGAATATAAGATCTCACTTTGAGTCTCAAGAGAGCTCTGTGCTTAGAATATAATGCTGGCATTCTCACCAGAGATAATGACAGGAACCCTCCAAATTCACAGCAAGGGTGCTCCTCAGTTTACAGAGCTTCTTGAAGGTCTGCACATAGCTTCTGCTTATATCTCATGACCAGACTCTACATATATCTCAGGATCACTTGCCACAGAGATTGCTAGGAAGCGTAGACATTTAGCTGAGCACATTGCTGTTTCAGATAAAATTGAGATTCCTTAAGGAAGGAGACATATGATATTGGATCAGAAATCAGCAGTCTGCCACTTATAGAATTAGATAACTACTTATATTTCAAATGTGTGTCATCTAACAAACATACATTTAAACTGTTGTTATATAAAATGTTAATTTAGAAATATGTTTCTACTCTCACATTTATAGTCCAACTCACATCCATACATGACTACTGGAAAAACCATAGCTTTGACTGCACGGACCTTTGTTGGCAAAGTAACGTCTTTGCTTTTTAATATGCTGTCTAGGTTGGTCATAACTTTTATTTCAAGAACCAGGTGTCTTTTAATTTCATGGCTGCAGTCACTATGTGCGGTGATTTTGGAGCACAAAAAAATAAAGTCTGTCAGTGTTTCCACTGTTTCCCCATATATTTGCCATGAAATGATGGGACTAGATGCCATGATCTTAGTTATCTCATGATGTACTCTGAATATAAGTTAAATAAGCAGGGTGACAATATACAGCCTTGATCTACTCCTTTTCCAATTTGGAACCAATCTGTTGTTCCATGGCCAGTTCTAACTGTTGCTTCCTGACCTGCATACAGATTTCTCAAGAGACAGGTCAGGTGGTCTGGTAGTCCCATCTCTTGAAGAA